AAACCAAGTCTGTCTCTCAGTACTTTCTGTTTAAGGTATGAATCGTGAAAAAAATGTTTTCTAATGATTAAATGGTTTTTAAATAGCGAATTAAACTCAAAACAAGAGTTAATACAGCATTTTGTAAAGGACTATTTTCAGCTGCACATTAAGCGGAACAATTCACTTTACATACAAATCGGAGTATCTGGAATACCAACTCACAAACTGTGACATTAGACAACTCTGTCAGGTTTTTGTGGGTTATGAGAAAACATGTGATTCAACAAGCCATTCAGGTTTTATTATACCTTCTATTTCACTTACAGGTTCCTTAGAGTTGAGATACCTTTGACAAGGTGCATCACATTTTTATCACAAGCCAATCAGAGCAGACTGGGCTTTTTTTTGGTAGGAAGGTTCAAAGAGACAGGCACTAACACGGAGTGTTTCAGAGAGAGGGTGAATACAGGTTCAAACAGTATGAGAGAAAAAAGTTTTTGAACATTAAAACATTTTACATTTTACAAGTAGAAACCCCAAATACAACCATTAACCTAAGATTCAGCATAATATGTCACTTTCAAATTCAGGCACCGTGTATGACTCACTACAAAATGATATATATTTTCAATTGTGTGTTGTTTTAATTGACCATGTGACCATTTGAATTATGGGAAATCTGGCAGATTTTAAGTCATTATTGTGCCACAAATAAAACTTCCTTGCAGCTCCTTAGAATTTACATAAATATATTCTGTAATGGGACAAATTGTATCTTGTTTAATGTAATACTGACGGGGAAACCATTTAACAGGTTTTAAATTAAAACATTTTTTTAACGTATACGGGTAAAAAAACAATACACCATAAAATCCTTCATGAGCTGCAGCAGCAGATTCCCATACCAGAACTCAAAACAGCAATTGTCCCTGGTTGTTGAACTAATTATGAAATGATAATTGTACACCAGGTTGATTATATAGGCTACCATGTGTGTTTGCCTCTTTGTTAGTCTGTTTGCACTTCTTTTGGAAGTTTATGAGCAGAGAGAAACCTGATTTAGCTGCATGCTGCTGGAAGATGCGCACAGAATCCTGTTTTACTGTTTACGGTTCATTCGAGTCTCAACTATTTCAAATGTGGTTTAATATCACAAAGAGTTGGTTACACCATTTGGGGCAATGACTCTCTTTATACAAAAACACACTCAGTGACCCTGCAGCAGTAATACAGCCTGTAAGTGTACGTAGTTCTGATAATATGAAGTCGGTTACTCGTAGAACAGGAAGCATCGCCACCATCTCAACTAGTGGCGACACCCGCGGTTTTTGTTCAGCGGCCGTTTCTGCATAAAGGCTGTGTGACTCGCAGACTCCGGTTAAAACATTCTGTGACACGAGATTTGAGAGATGGCAGGTAAGAGATCACGCTCTAAATGCACTTTACAAGTGGCCATAACTTCGCTGTATGTTTGCGTCGATATGCGGGCGATCAGTCAGTCGACTCAAATCTATTTGAGCCGTATATACTGTAAGTGGTCTGCGCAATGAGGGGTTAGAAATAAGATATTTTACACTTCCTTTGATTAACAAAGTCTGTTAAAGGACAATCTGGATCATTCTGCATGTTTGTGTGTGCGCCACGTATTAGTTTCACTTTGCTGGTGCTCATGCCCGCCCTATTATGTTGATAAGTCCAAATACAACTGTGGCATGTTTTACATACATTCATAGCCCGCTCTATGTCGTTTCAAGAGTTTGTTCTGGCAAACTGTAAACGCGAGTTTATGGAGCTAAAATGTCCAAAGTACGCAGGTCAGCCCATAAAAGGGTCAGACGAAAAGTGAAATAGACTTTTACCATTCACATTCCGATCACTGATGGTCTAATAATTCACATATGATGTATCATTTTTACCAAAGCATATTTTAGTCTTCAGCATATCAAGTGAAGTAGGCCTAAGCCTTCTTCTTCTCCACACCGTGAGGAGGAAGGGCACAAACCACAGTCAATCTTCCACAACCGCAACATAATTACTCACAGTATACTATCGCAAAGTGTTGCATAACTATTTGAACACAAATGTAAATATTTAAAACACATAGATTTATGGTTACACTGTACAATAAGGTTATAAACATGAGCTTAAGTAATGCACAGGGATAATTTAATGCAGGATGTATCGTGAATTCCTCTAACTCACTATTAAGAAAGGACCAAGTCACTGTGAGTTTATATGATTCGTTAATATTTATTGGATCATCAGTGATTCCTAACTCACACTAACCTAATTCACATAAGTTGTACTTTGTTTATCAAAACATTAATATACACTCTGATGCCAGTATATTAGGTACACTTATCAGAAACAAATGCAGTTTAATACAACAGTCACGCAATCAATTCAACTTCATCGATGTTATAATGTTCAGTTTTTGTATAATTTTGAGAGGATGTATTTTGTGGTAGTGGTGAATTCTCTTACCTTATAATCAGATGTTTCTCTGTTGTGTTCACCCCATTTATATCAACGAGGATGTACTAAATAACATATATCCCTAAAGTCTTACTCATGTTAGTACCTCTGTTTAAATCTAAGCTTTTGAGTTGTGCGATTTCTTTTGCTTCATATCACCTCTTCTAGGTAAGGAGCTTGCCAAAGTGAGGAGTAAGTTTGTGGAAAATGCCAACAAAGAACTGATTAACCAGCTCCTGGACGACCTTTTAGAAGATGGTGTCTTGAATGAGGGCCAGAAAGACTCCGTACTTGAGGAGAACAGTACCACAGCAAACAAAGCACGCGGTCTCATTGACATGGTGAAGAGGAAAGGAGACGAAGCCAGCAGGAAGATGATCGCTCATCTTCAAAGCAGAGATCCTTCACTTCACTCTGAACTGGGTCTGTCCTCTGGTCAACCTG